CTCTCTCTCTCTCTCTCTCTCTCTCTCTCTCTCTTTTCTTGCCAGTACAGCAGGTAAACGTAGATAACAGCACTGTGTTTACTCACCCCCTCACCTTTCACCTCTCTCTGAGTCTCATCTTACAGCTGTTTGCATACGAGAAGCAGGTAGAGATCCTTCTTTCTCTCTTCCTCTCTCTCTCTCTCCCTCTCACACTCTCGCACTCTCGCACTCTCTCTTTCTATATATATATGTATGTATGTATGTATAAATAACTCTCTATATCTATCTATCTATCTCTATCTTTATTGCTCTCTCTCTCTCTTGCCAGTACAGCAGGTATGCGTAGGTAACAGCACCATGTTTACTCACCCCCTCACCTCTCCCACCTTTCTCATCTTACAGCTGTTTGCGTACGAGAAGCTGGTAGAGATCCTTCTTTCCCTCTTCCTCTCTCTCTCTCTCTCCCTCTCACACTCTCGCACTCTCGCACTCTCTCTTTCTATATATATATATATATGTATGTATGTATGTATGTATAAATAACTCTCTATATCTATTTATCTATCTCTATCTTTATTGCTCTCTCTCTCTCTCTTGCCAGTACAGCAGGTATGCGTAGGTAACAGCACCGTGTTTACTCACCCCCTCACCTCTCCCACCTTTCTCATCTTACAGCTGTTTGCGTACGAGAAGCTGGTAGAGACCCTTCTTTCCCTCTTCCTCTTTCTCTCTTTCTATCTCTCTCTCTCTCTATCTCCTTAACAGTACAGCAGGTAAACGTAGGCAACAGCACTGTGTGTACTCACCCTGTCACCTCTCCCCCTCCTCTACCATCTTGCAGCTGTTTGCATACGAGAAGCTGGTGGAGATCCTGCTGCGCACGGTGCAGCGCGACGACGATGAGGACTTCATCCAGCGCATCAGCATCTACCTGCTCAACAGTCTCGCCTGCCAGGTCGACAACCGCCAGCGCAACCTCATCGGCGTTAAGGGCGGCATCGAGGTGCGTGCGCGCTCCCACCCGCCGGCGCCCTCATGCGCGCGCAGCCCATACATGCCGGACACAGGTCGATTGGCTGACGGGTGATAAAAATATGGTGGTCGATGAGAGAAATGAATTGCGCGCTAGAGAGATAGAATATGTGAGTGAGAGAGAGAGAGAGAGATGGGGTGCGTGAGTGAGAGAGAAAGAGTGTGTGAGATTGAGAGAGAAAGAGTGTGAGTGAGAGAGAGAGAGAGAGAGATCTGCATCAGCATCTACCTGCTCAACAGTCTCGCCTGCCAGGTCGACAACCGCCAGTGCAACCTCATTGGCGTTAAGGGCGGCATCGAGGTGCGTGTGCGCGCTCCCACCCGCCGGCGAGATAGAGAGATAGATAGATAGAAAGATAGTCTGCCGCGCGATTTGTTTTTCTTGTCCCCACACGCGTAGCGGGTACACGCTGAACACTGGTCGATTGGTTGACGAGCGGTGTGTGAAGGTGGTAGTCGATATATTTATATATATATATCGTAGGCTCCCCGAGAGAGAGAGAGAGAGATAAGTAGCATGCCTCGCGATTTGGTCTCTTTTGTCGCCTGCTGTCTTTGCTCGCTCGGTATTGCGTTATGTTGTCGATTTCGTCTTCGTTGCATTCCCAGATGCGTTTACATGATGCGATACTGCAGAGATGTAATAGCGACACGCTCGATGTCTCCATCAATGGTTTTGTTGTCCACGTTCTCATTCGCATGCTGTAGCGACGATGTATCCGTCGTGGCGACGGCTTGTCATGGCGACGGTGTGTCATGGCGGCTTGTTGCTCGGCATATTGCAGATCATGTTGAAGCTGGTGGAGGGACGGCTGCACAACAACACGTGTGACGACGTGATGGAGATCGCGTGGAGCACCATGTGGAACGTCACAGGTCAGGCTGCAGCACTAATTCTTAGAAGTTAGATCCTTACATTGATAACTGGTTAATATTTATAGGCACGACTCCATAACCCGTCCTATATTAATCGTGGGTTTCCGGGTTCGTCTGTGCTACCACCGCATTACTATTCACGGGCGGGTTTCACGATGAAGCCTCCCTCTATCGCTCACCGACCGCCGCTAGCTTATCCATCAAGGTGTGGCCCCCGCACCGCGTGCAGACAGGGTCCAGCTGTTGCTGCTGCTGCGCGAGCGAGCGAGGCGTCATGCACGTACGAACGCACACACCTGATGCTTTTAATATAGCGCCTAACCGCGCGCGGCAACGGACCGCGCGTGTTTGTACAACGCGGCTCACAATTTGGCCAGAGCAAACGCCGAGGCTAGTGCAACATCTAGCAAATAGGTGCGAATAATTGAACGCGCTGGCGACTGCGGCGCGCGGGTGTTGTACGATACGGTGAGCGATGAGCTCATGGCGGGGGTAAGGCATACGAGGTAAGACATACAGGTGAGGCATACAGGTAAGACATGTAGGTGAGGCATACAGGTATACAATGCGGCGGGCATCCTCGCCCACATCGCGTCGGACGGCCGCGACGCGTGGACGATCGCGGCGCCACCTCGTCACGAGGTGCTCGCGCGCATGGCCGACACGATCGAGCGCTGGAGCCTCACGAAACACCGCAACATCAACTACAGGTGTGTTTGTGAGGGGTGGCAGGGGTGTGGGGAGGGAGAGGGAGAAAGAGGAGAGGAGGAGGAGGAGGAGTAGCAGAGATGCCAACCACTACGATTTATCCGTATTTTATAGGAATTTCTATTCTTTTGCACCACTATGACCAGTTTGTATCAAACTACGAATTTAACTGTGATCGGGAAAAAAAAAATTATTTTTGGTCCGTCAGTCTATAATACGCAGGGGAAAAAATACACGGGGCGGCAGGCGATTTTGCCCCTGAAATGCCAAAAAGAGCCCCCGAAAACATGATATCGGGGGCGACCCCAAAAGAAAAAGTTGCCCTGGGAATCGATTGTCCAGGTCGGTCCTGCGCCTTGCCGCTCTCGCTCGGCGTTGCTGCGATGCGATGCCTAGGCCTCTGCCGCTAGCGGCAGCCGGTTCCACGGCGCAGTAGAATTCATGGTACGACGCTTTCTCAAACCCCCTGAGCTTCCACGGCCCTTACGCGGGCCCTGGACCCCAGTTGCAAGAGACTTCGCGTATAAACAATCGATCCTCCTCGCTCGTACAGGCATACACTCCACTATTTGCGCTAGCCATAATACAATGTTTCATGTGCGTGGCAGCGTATGTACTACAATTTAGAACGTGTGTGTGTGTGTGTAAAATTAATAATTCCCCCTCCCCCCTCGAACTACTAATTTGATGGCCAGAAAGTACAGATTGCTTCAAATATATGTTGGCATCTCTGGAGTAGGTGGAGAGGAGGAGGAGTAGGAGGAGAAGAGGGGGAGAAAGATGAATGGAGCCTCACGAAACATCCCAATATTAACCACAGGTGTGCGAGAGAGAGGGTTAGCAGGGGTGTGGGGAGGGAGAGGGAGAAAGAGGAGAGGAAGAGGAGGAGTAGGAGGAATGAGGAGAGGAACAGGAGGATTGGGGGGAGAAGGAGAAGGAGGGGGAGGCAAAACAATAGGAGTGAGGAAGAGGAGTAGAAGGAGGAGTGGAGGAGAAGAGGTGGAGGAAGAGGAGGATGTTGAGAAGCTGGAGAAGTATTGCGATTGGCAAGATCATGATAAGAGGTAAAACTATAGGTGTGAGATAACTTTATTAATCTGCCTTAGGCATCGAAGGATCACTTAATGCGGATGTCACGTGACATTTGTAATTAGTTATTGTGACTCGTTAGTTTACTGCTTATACTAATCGCTGATCCACTCGGATGAGCGACATTGTATTATACTGTACGCGTTTGTGATGTGTTTGTTATATATGGAATGTAATTTCAGGTCTTTTAAGCCGATATTAAGGCTACTGGTACACTATGATACGCCACAAGTGCAGCACTGGGCAGTATGGGCACTGGCAAATCTCACCAAAGTCTATTGTAAGTCAAACCTATATTCTCACTGTCTTCCTACCTCTATAGTTTGACATTTGCTCTGGGGTAGTGGAATAGAAATGAATTTACAATATGATAGAGGCCCCACGAATATGTCTGGAGTGTTGTGGTGACAGCTTTGTGAGTTTAAACGATTGACCAACCTGTAATGAGTTCATCATTAGGGTTTGGAGTGGGTATACGTATAATCTTTTTCCATCGATCTTTCTGACACTGAGCATCCTGTTTCCTCACACCACTCGTGCTATCGAGAGATGTGATGCTCATCCGCATCTTCTTCGCGTGCGCAGCTTCCCGCTACTGTGAGCTGCTGAAGGAGGAGGGAGGGCTGGCGATGCTTCGCGAGATCGTCGACGACCCGCGGCCGTACGCGCGCATCAGGCAGCTCGCCGACATGGTGCTCGACAACTACCACAGCTTCGTAGACGAGCAGACGCACGCCGCCGACGCCGACGCGTTGTGACGCAGCTGGGGTGGCGCCCCCTGCAGGCACGATTGTCACAGTGGCGTTCCCTGCACGTGCGGTAGCCGCGGTGATGATTCCTGGACACACAGGGCCACCGCGGAAGTGTGAAGCGCGAAGCTCGATTGTAGCGGGTGGATAGAATCGTGATGGGGGGGGGGGGGGGGGTGACGATGACGATGAAGCGCAAATATAAGTTGAAGCTGGTCCCACTGTGTGTACAGCCGACCTGGCCGCAGCATGATGTCCCGGAAGATTGTCTCTGCGTGCATGCATGCGTGCGTGCGTGCGTGCGTGCATGCATGCGTGCGTGCGTGCGTGCGTGTATTCGTCAGCCCCTTACACCAGCACCACAGTGATTTCGGTTACTAATTCTATAGGCATACGTGGAAATGATTGGGCTTTCATAAGTATGCTTGGTCACCCGGCAGTGACAGATGCATAGCTCTTATTTTGTGTGATTAGGGGATCGGGCGTTTACGGAACAGACTGGGAAATTCGTTACAGTGCAACCACGCGGCATCATCATGTCATGTTGCATGTCGCTTGAACACCGTCTGGTGTTTGCTGCTCTAGCAAAAACTGTATCCATATCCACTTATAGACGGCTGTTTAATGTATCTCGTGAGAGTGCGCGTCATTGACATTGTTTACCGTTAAACACGCATGCACGTGTGTTGGTAATTGGATGACTTTGCATGCGGAACTACTTGCTCGGAGACAAGTAAAATGGTTTATCTAAACGGAATCTAGTAACTTCCGTGAAACTTCCTTATCTTATTTCTGCTCACGATTTTGTTTCGGTATGGCATGACGGAGGATTGAGGCATGTGCGTGGAGGCATGCCGTAGCTTGTTCACCTCTTCAGGCTGTTACACTGTTTCGGTGTAGCACCTCTTACCTTGTTCTGTTGAACATTTGTAGTAGGAACGTTGATAATTGCAGTCAGATCTCATACGACGTTGCATCTTGACAGTGGCTTGCTTCACACAGTCCTAGTACATAGTTGCAGCGGTGGGAAATCTATTAGGGGCAACGAGTGACCGTAGTTCTGATGGACATGAATTTTAAAAGCTTTTAACATTGTTTAAAACGTTAATTTTGTGGCAATTTTTGATTGTTTTCGTGAAAGCAATTGTTATCGCCATGCGAGATTCGACGGCAAACCTGAAACGGAGCGTGGGAGACGGAGAGAGGGGGTAAGGTAAATGGAGGTCAATGTCGCAGCTGTGCGAAATATAAATAGCTAAGTAATTTCTTTGTGAAAAATATTACCTTGTGACTGTTATTATAATCGTCGGCTGACTAGTTAGTGTAATTTGCGAGTGCATGCAGTAGTTAATTTCGAATCATGTGTATACACGGTTGTCATCGAATAGTTTTATGTCATTATTATTTATGCGTTACATGTATACTATATTAATTATTTAAAGCAAAAATTACAATCCCAAATCGCATTTCTGTACGTTGTACTCGGAAGCGATCATTTAATATAATGGACTGAGAAAACGTGTTGTTTAAGACACTTGTATTTATTGAACATTGAAATCTGATGAGCTGTCTGTTGTCGACATCTTATTTAACTCTTTTTGCTGAATGCCAAAGCTACCGTTAGCTGTACAGAAGCAAAGAGGCACTGCTAACGTTACAATGCCTGCTAGTGAAATCACCTAGCCTAGCTGTGAGTTGACAACAGGTGGAAACTCTATAGTGACATCTCATCAGCACATCCTTTATTGGTTCTCTTCATTTACTCCCCCATCTGTTAATGGGGGTAACAGAGATTTTCCAACATTACTTCCATGTTCTCTGGTAGCGCCTAGCTGATTATCCCATACTGTCGACTTAATGGCAACATATTTTTACGACAGATGGCAGCAGTGTCCGGTATGATTCCCGTAAAGCTGGCAGAAGCATCTAGTATGGCTATGACGTCGTACGTCTAAAGTGTCATTTGTCGAATGTATATCGAAGTTGAGTGCTGTGCAAAAGCTGTGACATTTTGGAGATATGATAGTAATAACTATTTGTGAGCTGACAATGTGCCTACTTCATATATAGTTCGCAGGTGTATAAAGGGACATTAACAGCCGTTGCACTAGCGTGCATCAACACACACCTACATCGTAATTATTGTCTAGAAATGTGTGCGTTTTAAGAAAAAGAAGAAATTAAAATGAAGGCACCGGTATACAATCGTACACGTTCTTTAGCCGACCAAAACCTCGCAACGACATCGTGACGCATAGCGTCCTGTCGTCTGCGATAGCTCACGCGCCGTCACTGGTATAACAAATAATATCTTGCTCTAGTGAGGCATGCAGGTGAACGGGTACTAATTGAATTGCACTTGACGTCGAGTCTTTCTTAGAGATCGGCTGATAAGTAGTCCTCTAGCCAAGGTCACGTTACGCACCAGCCTACGAGATGTAACCAGCACCGATGTATACTACCTCTGCTATACTGCATATCCGGATGTGTGCACACACACACACGCACACGCGCGTACGTACGGGCGCGCGTGCATACACGCACATACATAATAATAAATCTGTTATACACACAATATATCATCAGCGCACAAATATCAGAGAAAACGCGAGAAAAAAATAGAGAGATAGAAAGGGGAGAGAGAGAGAGCGCGCGCGAGAAAGACAATTTTCAGGTGCCTACCAAAATCCGATTGGTATCTAGAAGTTGTTTAAATCTTCCTGCAATACCTCATGATTCATCAAAGTGAACGAATCCAGGTAAAATAATGTGGATTTAGTGGGCCCAGCGCTATAGTACTTATACACAATTGCACCTATATCTGAACCGTATCATTCGCGTAGAAGAGAAATACGTCGGCACTAACTGCTTTATTAACCATCTTTAACGTAAAATTAAAACGCGTCCTCGAACGACAACGACGATCACTGATACTATCTAGTCCAAGTCTAATACTAATGTCTAAACACGCACACGCACGCACACACGCACACACGCACGCACGCAGCGAACGCGTGAGAGAGACGACGCGGAACGGACACGTGCCGGCGGCGTTTGTCGAGTTGCTGCCATTTTTTATCGGCAGACGATTATTTTCGCCCGAGCCATTCATTCCGACGAATGGTTGAATAATTACTACTCGCCTTTCGCAAAATATATAGGGAGATGATATGGAAATTACGTCGGTGATGTATATACACATATTCACGCGTTTAACTCTAATCGAAAAGAAAACTGGCGCGAATGGATGCGTTTTCGGCAAGCTATCGCTTTATTTTCGTTTATCGGAATAATTTTGAACGCAAATATAATGGCGGCTCGTACTGCGCACTATACGACATGCTACCCAAGTAAAAAGCTAGTAGAAAAATAAAGATAAGTAAAATATTAAAGAACGGCTTAGGCTTCCGCGTATAAAGAGGAAATGTTAAATTAAACATCATTACTCATCGTCTACGGAAAAAAACCCAGCAAATCACAATAACTAACGTTGTTAAAGAACATTAAATCACCATTAAACGTTTTCGCCAGGCTTTTCGAATACTAATTCCACACCGCACAATTTACCGATACATGATTATTGCCATAAGACGATATGATTTTAGAATAAAACAAGAAAATAGCTTAAATATAACCTGCCGAAAACCTCTTCCTTCCCACTCACTCTCTCACCACGACAGGCCCACCTTCACTCTATCCCCGCACCCCCAACGACACCCTGTCTCAATCCTCGTCATAAATTACAACGGCCCCCCGTTTACCATTATAGGAGTCACCGCGGCTAATGTGTACGTGCGTGTATCCACGGACGTCGTCTATGCGTGGAAGCGCGTAACGTAAAAGCCATATAGTAGCGACCTTTATTGCGACAGCAGGGCGTTCATGTGAATGACAATGCCCTCACATCGTTTCACCGGCTATTGATGACGGCGAATGAACGAGGCGGAAAATCGGGAAGACGCCCTCCCATATGGCTTTTTATCTGAAAGTCGCGGCGCGTTTGCTCTATCCATAACGGGCGCGCGTTCTCTCCCTTTCTCCTCCCCTCTGTCCCTCACTCTCTATTCCTCTTCTTCTTCTCTCTCTCTCTCTCTCTCTTTCTCTCTCTCGCTCTCTCTCTCTTTCTCTGTCGGGCTCATCCTCTAACGTGTGAAGTTTAGCTGTACGTCCGGTAGAGGCCTGGCCAAATAAATAAATTAACGATTTTCTCTTAGTAATCTCGAATGTCGCCATGTCTCGTCGGGGAATAATCTGAGAACCCGTAAATTTTTCACGCGGGACTCTTTTACTGTGGAAATGCGTGGACAGCCTATTCTACTAAGAAATCGGAAGGCATATAAGTTGCACATTTACCGCAGTAGTATCGTGTCAGGAATCTGAGTGATCTCGTGATGAATTATGTAGATGTATGTAATTAGCAAATGATTGTACCCGCTATTCAGCGAATGATATTCTGATTGAATCAAAATATCGTTTGCCATAGTCGGATTGAGGTTCACCTCTTTCATTCTCCACCTCTCTCGCTCTCTCTCTCTCTTTCTCTCTCTGTCTCTCTTTATTTCACCCTCCCTCGCTCCCTCTTCTTCCTTTCGCTATCTCTCTCTTTCTCGCCTTCGTGCTCGCTCCCCCTCTCCCCACCACACACACACACACAAACACGCGCGCGCGCGCGCGCATGCACACACACACACACACACACACACACACACACACTCAATCTTATCTCTGAACATTTTATATAAAAAACAAAATTCATGACGTAATAACTTAAGATAAAAACGTCACGTAATCACCGGAAATACTGCTACCATATAGTTGGTGCACTGGCATTGACCTTAACTACTAACTTTGCTGGGTTTTGATTGGCTGTTTTCGTCAACGTCTGTCATCATTTCAAGTTGTTTCTTATGTGAGAAAATTGCTAATAAGGGAGTTAAAAGTACAATAATAGTAACGGCTTTGGTCTAATGTTTGCAGTGCGCGATACGTAAATCGGAAGCAAAGGATTTTCGCTAAAACCGCGGTCCGTAATATCGAAGGTGAAGCCCTGCTCACGTGACAAGACGCGGCCTGAAACACAGCACCTTGTAGAATTCGTACGCGGGAAAACAAATGTTTGTAAGCTTCACTGAGCTGTGTATAATAACATTATAAAATAATGTTGTGATAAAGAGCTCATATCAGTGGTATGTCTACGTGTACGCTCGGCTTATTCGCCGGTTGGACAATTTTCACGTATTCACACGCACGATGGCAGCACCATCGCGGCAAGACGCACGAACTGAAACGGGGAACGATGGACCTACTACGTTGTTACGTATCAAGATCATAACACTTGATTCCGCGCCTAATCTGCAGAAACTCACGCTAGCTACTGCCATCGGTCCATCATTCGCATCCGAAATTCATCGATAAACGAATTTCGTGGAGTAAAAATAGCGTTGGTTGGTAGCTGTTAGAAGAGCGGGCGACGTAAATTCAATCTGTGCGATTGTAGTCGGACGTGACTGATAGTTACTATCTCTCCTCATTTATCGCATAACACTACACCGCTTCATCTTATTCTATGATATTTAGCGTATAACCCGGTCTGCCGGTATTTACAGTTGGTGCCTACCCTACAGAAATTGTCAGTAATGCGTACGTTTTTATCTATATATGTAGGCCTACAGAAGCAGAATCTAGTAAAAAAGGCCGCTATCGTAACTCATCTCTGGTCGGCTCATTTTATCGGTGTTTGATAATAAAGAGCAAGGTACGGCCGAGGCAATTTATCGAATTTAAACTGTTATCGAGTTACGGTACATTCGAAACAATATATTGTTCCCTTGTGTAGCTTAACTCCTGCCTAAAATCTTTATATTTTCTGAACACTCGGCGTTCATATACTGTAACAATGCAGCTTAAATCGTCCGATATATTATATGTACAGTCGATAAATATGAACGTATTTTTGCTAATTACGCTAACATATACATTCGAAAACACGCGTATAGCAATTTGCCGTTTGGAAGTTGCTACGCGGTCGCACACGCTCGCCAGTCCGTTTCCAATGCAGCGCGGACTAGCGTTATACGCATTTACACACCGAGTTACGCCATGTCGCGTATCGTCGGCGCAGTGACAAGTGACTACTTCTAATAAAAGCCCCACGAGCCGCTTTTAGTCGGCGAATCACGCGATGGTGTCGGTCGGCCAACATGGCGACTTCAGCTGGTGGGCAGCAAACAGCTGTGATTGTTCCCGCTACTGTTGCTATCGGTGCTGTTGGTATTAAACAACATGGCGTCTTCCGCGTACAACTTCTGCATCTTTTCGCTCTCGATTTCGTCGTCGGAGTTGTCCGCCATGTGCCGTGCCGCTTCGCTATCGTGTTTCTTTTTCGCCGTCGCCATTTCTGCGGCGTGTTTCTTCCGCCATTTTGTCCGCCGATTCTGGAACCATACCTTTAGAGAAAAGTGAAAGAAATGACCGTTAAATACATTACAAGCAATATATTATTATTTTAGGAATTTTATACCAATATTATTCTTTTTCATTCTCTTATAGTATATATATTTTAGTATTATATTGTTTATACATTTAGTAATATATTTTGCTCATTCTAAATAAAAAACAATGTTTCCGTCTTAACTACATAATTTGTAGTAAAGTCTTTAAAATAGACAAGCATATAAAATAATTTGCCAGCAAATAGCTTCAATATTATTTATATACATAATAACCTAGTATATCAGATGTGCGGTAATTGGTACAGGGCATGTTACGCGCATGGATAAAAACAGGCATGAGAAAATAACAACTAAATAAATCTAATTTGTGTAAAACGGAATGTCGACAAAATATGGAAGTAAAGCTAGAAAGATGGTCATGGACAAACACACCCATCTCTCGTGTAGGCTGTCTGCTTGGTTAATTATTAAGTCGGTAGTTATTTTAAATTAAGTATTTGTTGCACACAGGTTTGAGTTAATATTCACTGAAACATATACATACGCGCGCAAGCACATAATTAAAAATTCGGTTATTATTGCTATATCTACTATTATTTAATGACTTAACGCATGATTGTCTATCACTCTTTGGCAATACGTCGTCAGGTTATATAAACGTTTTTCGTTTACAATAGTTATTCATCGTACTTGCATAAGGCATTGTGTTTTAAATATACCCGATATAACGTGTATAGTTAAACATTGTTAGAACAAGTGGTAATACTGTTTCACACATGATGACAAACGTTATTCCGCTGCTAAATATACTTAAACTACTGCAAAAAAAATAGATAACTATACATACTACCAAGAGAAGATTATAACACATGTGTTATTATCTACTCTTGATACTACCAATCAAATTTACTACTATATCTCGGATTATTTACTGTCTAGATAGAGGTTTACGCGCACAACTTTTAGTTACGCGTGCGTTTACGCGCCCGCCATGCGGATTACATGTTTTACACTCACGAACCACGTTTGCAAAAACCCACTACAATCTGTATCGCGTACGATCTCTCTCTCTCTCTTTCTTCTCTTCTCTCTCTCTCTCTCTCTCGCCCATCTCTCTCGCCCCTCTCTCCCCATTTCCCCTATCTCCTTTTCTATCTTGCTTTCTCGCGCGCGTGCTCTCTCTCTCACTCGCTCTCTCTCTCTCTCTCTCTTCTCTCGTCTCTCTCCTCTCTCGGCCGCGCTCTTCTCTCTCTCCTCTCTCTCTCTCATCTCTTCCTCTCCTCTCCTTCGCGCGCGCGGCGCGCGAGGGTGACAGCTCCCAGACGCCAGCGGGTAGGTGTGTCAGTCTCTCTCTCTCACACTCGCTCTCCCTCCCTATTACTCTCTCTCCCTTTCACTCTCACTCTCCCTCTCTAGTTCTCCCTCTTTTATTCTCTCTTCTTCTCGCCCACCTTCTTCCTCTCTTCCCCCCTTTCTCTCTCTCTCTAGCTCTCATTTCATATACAAACGAGCCCATAGTAAACTGACGGGCACTTCTAGATGCACCAGCTTTTTAGCGGCTTATCTCTATGTACGAGTTTTAATCCGCCAGAACTCGTGTCTGTAATCGTGTCGCCCGCCGCTATCGCATCGCAAGATTGATCGACGCATCTCCTCCATTATTAATACCAACCCTCTCCCCTTCTCCCCCCGACGAAGTCGTAACACGACTCCTCTCCCGTATATGACGACACCGACGAAAATGAAACGGTAGTGTTTTTAGAAGGGGATGATGAGGCAGTGCAGTGGGGCGGGAGTGTGTGTGTGTGCGTGTGGGGGGGGGAGATTAATCGAATATGCGCGAAACATTATTAGGCGTCGCTTAATCAGATCGTCTCCGCCATCATTGCGTAATCCGTTTATAATTGAATTGCTCGTAACGTCCACCAGGGTGTCATTGTGACACCGCTACGCCCCCTATCTTCATGCCGATCGCGAGCATCGCTGAGCGCGAAATTATCGCCATAAACTCCGATATTGCGAAAATAAAATCTAAACGAGTACTAATGATCATGAGGCGGCGAGCCTGTTAGCTGGGGTCTAATGAATGCGCGCATTTTTATTGGAAGCATTATAATGGAATATCTTGCGTAGTGCGCGCATACATCGATTTAATCGAGAGTGAATGAAAACAAATTTAGATTTTTTGTCTATTTTTATTCACTCCTGATGTAATGATCTTTCCTACACGCGTAATTCCACGACGTATTTCACAAAGCTTGTGAGCGTCGGCGAAGCAGTTTTTAATGTCGACATAAACCTTCAGTCGTCATGTCACTGTTTCACGTACAAGAATTTATGATATGAGAATAAGACACATGATCCTTTTGATTTTTGATGCAGGTATTGAGTTCAGTTTGTCGAAGCTGCTACCATATGAAACTTGTCAGCGATTGGTTAAAAACACAAACTATTTAGCTGATGTGTTGCTATTATATATATATATATATATATATATATATATATACATATATTATAGTAACAAACAGCAACATACTAACATCAACAGCCCAACCTTTAATTGAATAGCTTCCGTGTATACTTTGCGGATTCGAAGATTAGTCTTTACATGTTTTTACTTTATCAAACAGTAGATGGCACCGGCCGCTCGGTTTTCGCACAAAGACACACTCGCGCCGAGCTCGCACACGCGTGTATAACCAAAGCTATCGAACACTAGGTTTGGTGTGGTAGCGGTTTCCGGCACCTTCAGCATAACACAGGCTCGGAGCACGATGGCGACAGCAACTCTCTTATTGAATGTATTCAATGTTTTTCACATGTACAATTTCTTACATGCCTACGTGACTAATCATGGAGTATATTATCAGAATATCTTATCGAATATCTTATCAGAATATAAGAATATCAAAATATATTATCAGAATGTTGCAGTGCTGCTATAACTATGTTAAACGAATAGTTTATATGTGTTTTATTATGTGTTTTTAATACGATGTAAAATAGAGACGCCTCGAAATTCACACACACACTTTATCATTATACCCGTAAAATAGCGCGATAGATATATATGAAAGCAAGACATATAACAAATGTGTCGGTATATGTATATATATATATATATATATATATATAGGCCGATTCTGCTTACTCGATTAAGCTAATCGCTAGATCAATCAGATATGGGCGCAATTGTGTATGAATATACGAATGTCGACACGCGCCCAGGCCTTAAATCCATACGGTTTCACCCGAATTCCGCCAGCTCCGTAAAAACAATAATTTTGCTTAGACAATTTCTGGGAAAAATTCGCACAACTTTAAAACCAATCAGATTTCGGTATGTACATATTTAGGTGCCACAAATATGCACGTGCCTATGAGAACAATAATAATTTTAGTACGGTTTAGGGCAAAACGGCAGTTATTCATCGAAAGACGCCATAGAAGGTGCACAGCTACAATACGCCGTCTTTAGTATTACTCACCTTACTCGCTGTAAGAAGGAGGAGAAGGAGAGATATAATTTAATAACGTGTCCCATTACGTGCAGGGAGCGAACGGATCGTTTAACAGGTATTTCGCCGTACCTTGACCTGTGATTCGGACATTGCGAGAGAATAGGCCAGTCTGGCCCGCTCCGGACCGGCGAGATATTTTGTTTGCTCGAACGTTTTCTCCAGGGCGAATATCTGATGTCCGGAGAACGTCGGCCGCGTGTGTTTCTTCTTTCCGTCCTTGTCGTAGCTGCTACCTGAAAGTCGAACGTGAAAATCAACAGCTGTTAAAGCGATTACGTCACCGTAAATAGTAAAAGTAAAAAAAATGTGTCGACTTTTTCACAAAATGTAGGCCTAAGTGATTCTGTTTACTTTTTTATGGTTAAATGTTTGCATTATACTTCCTATCTTGCTATTCCGTTCGATGTGAACAAACACTTTTGACTCATACATAGCCCATAGCAAGCATTTAATGTCCTGATCAATATATCAAATCGCCCAGATTTTTTGGATTTTTGACTAGTTGAAAAACAATCTTATCAGGTAAGAATTTGATGATACCTTTAGTGCCGTTAGTACTTACTGTTCATGTAAAAAATTGCAACAAATTTTTTACAAATATACACCATAGAAAATTCGTGACGTAGTCAATTTAAAGTTGCACTTATAGCTAGAGAGTATCATGGCGACGTCTTTGACATGTATAGTAAGGACAAGTGACAAAATACATTTTAAATACTAGTGCGGGACCCGGCGGCCAAGTAAGCAATCGGCTCGGTAAATATTTTACTGAGCCGATATTTCTTTTGATTTTCGACATTTTCTGCATTTCTAACTTCCGCAAAAAATTATTGCTGAATCGTTGATTCAATTCTTTCCACTACGAATGAGAATTTTTTAAGCCTACGCGTACGAAACCGCACGTTGATTTGTCACGACCGTGTATTGCACCGTTGTGTACAGATCGTTATGTGTAACTTGTATTGTAGCGTTATACATACATACACGGTGTTACATACATACGTGTCATAATTATCTGCTTCTCCCGCGCGCAACAGACATGCAAGCACGACAACGACGGGTAGAATCTGATAATAACGCGCGCGAGTTCCCATAACAAACATAACGAGAGTAATTACTAATATTATTTGGAAGATCACAAACGCTCACGTGCGTGCGTGCGTGCGTGCGTACGTGCGTGCGTGCGTGCGTGCGTACGTGCGTGCGTGAGTGCTGGCGGATATAAAGAATGAATGAATACTTAACGTTAGAGCGACAGCGACAGCGCCGCCGCCGCCGCCTTGCCAATGCTGCTCTCGTAAAAGTATATATTGTTTGATTATTTACTGTGATAGAGATGTTATCTCTGCCGTCGCCGTATTGCACAACGCGGCGTAATAATCATAAATGTCACGTCAACGATGCTTGATCAGCAACTATAACTATGAGGCAGGGCGAAAAGGATCGAATACTCATCATAAATTATGACGGCGAGATCTCTCGCTCTTAATCTCCGCATGTTGTTATGTATTAATATGCACGCTCGGATGTAGAGCGCGGGATTTCGCTTCGATCACTGTCAGGTGGCCGGATGGGTTGGTGGCTGACGTACGTAGCTTCGCCCCGGCCGGGAGGGAGGGTGGACAGCAACGCATGCAGTTACAGAACAGACGAGAGCCAATGCTGGCTTACAGATGCAGCGCAGCGAGCGCGCCGCGCATTGGTTATTAGCCTGCCGCTGACGGAACATGCGCACGCACACACGAACACGCACGCACGCACGCACACGCGTGTACGTATGCACGCACATACGCACATGTACGCTCACTCCCTCACGCAAGCACGCGCGAACGAACGAACGCCCGAGCACGCGCACAAGAGAGAGAGAGAGAGAGACATAGAGATCGAGCAATCATGATAGCGTGTGCGCGAAAAAAAATTTCATGTACCTACCAAAATCCGATTGGTATTTCGAAGTATGTAAATCTTCTTGCAGTTCCTCATATTTCATCAAAGTGAACGAATCCAGGTTGAAAATGATGTGGATTTATTCGTGCCGCAGCGCTTGCGCCAGATCTGCGCTCATAACGCACTTCATACACAATTACTCCTATATCTATAGCATCTTCCGCGCGGCTAATGCGAAAGAAAATTGGCCAATATAGAGAACGTTAAAAACAAGCACATTATATATATATATATATATATATATATATATAATATATATAGGCCGATTTGCTTACTCGATTAAGCTACTCGCTATAGATCAATCAGATATGGGCGCAATTGTGTATGAATATACGATGTTGACACCGCCCCCAGCCTTAAATCCATACGGTTTTCACCCGAATTCCGCCCAGCTCCGTAAAAACAATAATTTTGTTTAGACAATTTTCTGGGAAAATTCGCGACAACTTAAAACGCAATTCAGATTTTCGTATGTATATATTTTAGGTGCCACAATATGCACGTGCCTATGAGAACAATAATAATTTTAGTAGCGGTTTAGGGCAAAACGGCAGTTTTATTCATCGAAAGACGCATAGAAGGTGCCACAGCTACAATACGCCGTCTTTAGTATTACTCACCCTTACTCGCTGTAAGAAGGAGTAGAAGGAGAGATAATAATTTATAACGTGTCCCATTACGTGGCAGGGAGCGAACGATGCGTTTACAGGTATTTCGCCGTAGCCTTGACCTGTGATTCGGACATTGGCGAGAGAATAGGCCAGTCTGGCCCGCTCCGGACCGGCGAGATATTTTGTTTGCTCGAACGTTTTCTCCAGGGCGAATATCTGATGTCCGGAGAACGTCGGCCGCGTGTGTTTCTTCTTTCCGTCCTTGTCGTAGCTGCTACCTGAAAGTCAAACGTGAAAATTAACGAGCCTGTTAAAGCGATTACGTCACCGTAAATAGTAAAAGTAAAAAAAGGTGTCGAACTTTTTCCCAGAAATGTATGGCCTACGTGATTCTGTTTACTTTTTTTAGTGGTTAAATTTCTGGCATTATACTTCCTATCGTTGCTATTCTCGCTTCGATGTGAACAAACACTTTGACTCATACATAGCCCATAGCAAAGCATTTAATGTCCCGATCAATATATGAAATCGCCCAGCTTTTTGGATTTTGAACTAGTTAAGAAACCAATCTTATCAGGTAACGAATTGACGATACATTTTTGCGCGTTTATTACTTATTTTCATGTAAAAAATTCAACA